GATGTGAAAACTTCTACAGGAACATAACATTAGTAGCAAAGAAGACCAACTAGGGGATTGTCATCTTAAATAGAAGTAAACCATGATATTAGCTTTAATCAGGGTTTTGGTGATGGGAATAGAGAGAATTGGACATTTTCAAGAGCTGTTAAGGAAGCAGGATTAATTGAACTTGTCAAAGATTGGACTTGTGAATGGTAGAAAAAAATCTAGATGATCCAGTTAGCTTTCAGGTTTCTGGATTAGGCTGTTTGCAGGGTGAAAGGAAGGAGAAAGGATAAAGGAGGTCTGGGGAAATAATGAGATTTAAGATATCAGGCAAACATCAATTAAGATTGTCTATTAGGCAGTCAGATATATCACCCTGGGTTTTTTTTTTCTTTTTTTTATTATTATACTTTAAGTTCTAGGGTACATGTGCACAGTGTGCAGGTTTGTTACATATGTATACTTGTGCCATGCTGATATGCTGCACCCATCAACTCGTCATTTACATTAGGTATATCTCCTAATGCTATCCCTCCCCACTTCCCCCTCCCCGGTGAAGGACCGGTGTGTGATGATCCCCTTCCTGTGTTCAAGTGATCTCATTGTTCAATTCCCACCTATGAGTGAGAACATGCGGTGTTTGGTTTTCTGTTCTTGTGATAGTTTGCTGAGAATGATGGTTTCCAGGTGCATCCATGTCCCTACAAAGGACACAAACTCATCCTTTTTATGGCTGCATAGTATTCCATGGTGTATATGTGCCACATTTTCTTAATCCAGTCTGTCACTGACGGACATTTGGGTTGATTACAAGTCTTTGCTATTGTGAATAGTGCCGCAATAAACATACGTGTGCATGTGTCTTTATAGCAGCATGACTTATAATCCTTTGGGTATATCCCCAGTAATGGGATGGCTGGGTCAAATGGTATTTCTAGTTCTAGATCCTTGAGGAATCGCCACACTGTCTTCCACAAGGGGTTTTAAGAAAGAGGTTTTAAGAAAGAGGTGTGAACTAAAGATACATATTGGGGGAGGGTTCATTTGAAAATAGATACTATTTGAATGGGAATGAATGAGGATATCCAGAGAAAAAAAACAAGGACTGTGAAGAATACCAATATTAAAGAAAAACTGAATTGGAACAAATGGACAAAAATGTGAAAGAATTAATCAGGAGAAAGCAGTATCCCATAAGCCAAGTGAGGAAAGAATTTCATGAGGGCAAAGAGGTTAATAGGTTCTAGCTCTACAGAGGGACTGAGTAAGATAAGGCACGTATATTCACATGTGTGTTTACAGGAGAGGATACTTTCTTAAAGATGAAAACACAACCAGTTTAAAGGCTGATGATAAAGAACTGGGACATAGATTTTTGACAATCTGGATATACAGCTGAATGGAAGCTGGTGGCTTAATACACAGGGATGCTGCTGAGAACACACACACAGAGATGAACCTCAACCAGGTGAAGCCTAGCCTCTTCCACCAAGGCAGGTGGGAAAAAAAAAAGAGAGAGAGAGACAATGAGCACAAATACCCACAATCTGAGAAATATTATTTTGACTAAAGTAGGAGATGAAGTCATTTACTGTGAATGATGGGGAAAGTTTAGGTACCCCACAAAAGCTTGAAGTAATTGTTGAGAGAAACTAAGGAGAAAATACACTTAGGATGAACGGAAAGCTTATGAAGAACTGCTGATTTTGTTAAAATATGTTATTAAAGAAATGGAGTAATGCCTGACAATGACAACATGTACATATAATCACGACAGCAGGTAGCTGAATTGAGGAGATGAGAGAAACAGAAGCTTTTAGCAAAGGCAGGAGAGCCCACAGGGATGCTGAAATGACCAAGAATGAAAGAACAACTTGGGTGAAAAAGTCTACTAACCTAGTGCCAAAGTCTTCAATGAGAAAATATGATAAAATGGTAGATAATAGATGGCCAGAAGTCATTGACTGCAAGGAAAGAGGTATTTTTACATCAAGAGAGCAGTGTCTTTGGAATTGTCTCTGTTAGGTGAGGGAGTCAGTCATTCTAAAGTAGTGGGGGTACAAAAGAGGGATGAGTCACAGTGCTGTTTTTGAGGGTAAAAGTGGTTTCCATGTATGAGTAGAATAAGTACACAGGACAGAAGTCTTGTCTGGAAAAAGGGTTTGAGCCTGCCGAGTGAGAGAGTGTAGGAAAGCAGAGGAAGTGAAGCAAGGACAAGAAAGTGCAAAAGAGCATAGAGAGAAAGATAGAAGAAAGGATAGACTCGAGGTACCTATACTCTGGGTAGTAAACACAGATAACAGAGATAGGAGAAAATGGAAGAATTAACTGGCTTGATGATTTCCAGCGGGAGTTAGTAAAAAGTTGATTCCGAAAGAGTGTAATCAAATGTAGATCCCATGAAGAGCCCAAAGCCAGATGACCATAACGACTTGACAGGCAGGCTTTCAAGAGAAACTGGTACAAGCTCCAGATTTTCAGACACCTTATCAAACCCCCTTGCGATCAGAGAAGGCCATTTTTTTTTATTACCAATTTACGTTACCATGTGCTCACTGAAGTAATTTGAGTAGTTAGAATCTGTTAATTCAGCTAAAAAGTCTGAACTGTGGTGACATTAAAAGAATGTGAGAGGGAACCGCTAGGTAAAGCCCAAGATTGTGTCCTAGAATATTGATTCTCAAGACTTTATGTGCATAGGCTTCGCTCCTGGAAAATGTTCAAAGGCAAATTTTGATTTACTAGTTCTGAGATTCTATATTTCTGACAAGCTCCCAGACAATGTCAATATTTGTGGTCCAGGGACATTTTGATTAGAAAAGTTCCCTAGAAATCAGCTTTTAAATAAGTGCATTTTGTTAATTATATGAATAAAACACATGGCGAATATACAAGGAAAAAAATTATGCTTAGGTTTAAAAGTTCCATTTTTAAAAATATGTGAAATTGAACTGATAATGGCCTATGATATGCTAATTGGCTAAAAGCACTTGAAAGGAGTAAATGAAGAAATCAAGTGGAAAAAAAAGAGTTGGTAATATTTAGCCATTTTTATTAATACCACTCAAGTTCACGACACGAGCCTGCCATGAGTTCAAAATAACCTATATAAACTGACAGGTGATATAGTAAGAAAATTAATGTATACCTAAACTGAATATCCTTCATCATTACTATGTATTTCTCTTGAGGATTTTTAATACATATACATTATATTGAGCCTGAGGGAAACATCAAGGTAAATCATTTCATGTCCTATTTCAGTAGGCAATTAAGAACGATGTTGTTATTTCAGAAAATGAGAGTTCAGGGTGATAAAGGGGACTCACAAGGTATCAGAAAACCAGTTATAAAATATTGTACATTTTTGAGCACTTTTAGTCTGTCATGCTCCCACTATTGATAAAATGCAAATCGTTCAAAGGCAACCATGTAACACGAACTTTTATGATTTATATTCCTGAAATACTGGAACTCAATTTTCCTGCCTGATCAAAGCTGTTTTAAGATAAACAAACTATCAGACAGAAACCTGTAAGAATCAAATCAATAACCATTTTTAATTAGTTGATAAAATGCCAAAGGCGATTCATATTTCCTGTGGTCAAATATGTGACATGAACTTTGAAAATCAGAGTTTAATGTTCTCTAATTAGTGTTCTACTACTCAGATAATTTCCCTCAAAAATCATAGCAAACAATATACCTTCAAAGAAGTAAACTTGAAAAAAGACATTTTGCCAATTTTCTACAATTACATATTATCTTTCAGTTTAATTTTAAAACTCAAACATTAGTAATATAATCATATTTCTCATTTCTTGAAACTGTTTAGAATAGTCTATTACAATGCTGACAACATGTCTTATAAAGTTAATAAATAATTTAAAATAACTTTCCAATTTATAAATAGTCAACTCTAAGAAGAACTGGTGATGAAATTGTCTCCCCTTTTTCAAGCAGCCTAAAAAATAGATTTTTTTTCCAGAACATATATATATATTTTTGTTTTGCTCCAGAAGTTCCAACCCCAACAGCAAACATTAGCTTGTAACTGAGGTAATGTTGTATTTGTAAAAATACAATAGATTTTGAACTTCAGAATTTGAATCCTAGAAAGAAAAAGCAGAGCTAATGTACACATTTAGATGTGACCTTCCCATGGATAGAATTACTTTTCATTCATAATCACTGTTTTTTTAGCTTGCGTATTGTATTTACTCTGCCTGTTAGAAATTCTTTTACAAACTGTTGCCGATCATATACAAAGATGCATGTTTTATAATTGTTGAAGTCGAAAAATTAAAGCTTTGACAATTTCCCTAAAGATGAAGCGGCTTATATTAAATAAATAAAACTTCCTATTTGTGAAGGTCAAACTTATACCATCTCAGAAGGGAATAACAACAACAAAGCATCTGTTACCACATGTAAATACTGAGAAAGGCTGCACATCTTTTAGTTAAGGTAATACACAAATACCTGGGAAATTTAAATACCTTATATGACAGGGATTGATGACTATAAAGAATAACTTTTTGATAATAGTGAGCATATAAACATGGTCCTAAGTATAGTATCTATATTATTCTATTCTATTTTACACTATTCTACTCTACACAATTCTGCAAGTTTGCTAAGGCCTAGCCTTGAGGTAACTGAACAATATATTGAAGAAATCAACATGAATTCATGTTATAAAATTGTTAATTTATAGTTAAATAATACGTAAGTTAAGGTAAGTTTATGAAAGGCATCCCTAGTCAGTCACAGAAGAATCCAGAAAGATTTCTCTAGGCTAAACTTTGATTTTGCTTGCTATCTAAAATATACTTTAAAGATATATTATTTTATTTTTAAACATTTTATCATTTAACATTTTATCATATTGCATATTTAAAATTTTATCATATTGCATTAATCTATCAACTAATAGAATCACAGATGACAAAGCACGGAGTTTACAAGCAGCACAAAATGTGTACACATATAAAAATTAATGCATAACCTACATTGACTTTTTCTTTTAAGTCTGAGAAGTTGCCTTCCTTCCGAAAGATTGCAAATTCAGGACTCTGCAACACGGCTTCTGAGCGAGTAATCCAACTGTGAAGTTCAGTTATATCAACATCCAACCTAAGACAGCAAAAAATAAAAGTCATTATTTCTTATCTCTTTCTTCTATATAAAAAAAGGAATTTATCCGCATTTATCATTCTTTCCTCAATCTGAGACTCCTGCCTGATGCCTCTATTAGTATTAATAGCACACTATTTTCCCCGTTAGGTAGACTCAAATTTGGAGTCAGCTTTGATCTAGAGTCTTATGATCACAGAGGTCATTTTATTCACCTCAATGTAAAAATCACTTGTACAATATCTCCTGTAAGCTATTACCCAGCCTCTGCTTGAATGTTTGCACTATTTAAAAAAGTACTACCTCCCAAGATAACCTTTTGTTTTTGGAAAGTATTTACGAGAAAAAAGAAATTCCTGTTGGTGGTCACCATTGAACCACATGCTCTTCTGTAGTCTCCAGTCATATTGCCTCTGGGTTTGGCCACGTGACTTTCTGTCACAAATGGGACAACAGTAAGAGTATTGCCAGTAAGGTTTTGATAAGTGCTTGCATGTCAGAGCTTGACTTTTTAGAGCACACGCCCTGAGAAGGCAACAATGATATAAGAAGTACAATGACCTTGAGGAGATCACGTTTTAAGGAAGTTTAATCTATCCATGTGAAGAGGCCACATGAAGAAGCATGGGGCACCAGGAATGCAAATAAAGCCCTCTGTGACCCATCTCAATGCCAGCTGAAGACAGACAAATGAGTGCTCCAGTTGATGCCACATAGAGAAAAGAAATGCCCAAAGGGCACTGCCCAAGTTGAAGAACTGTGAGAAATAATAAGTGCTGCTTTAAGTCACTACATTTTGGTGTAAGTGGTTATGCTGCCATAAATATCAGATCGCCTATCCTGTTATTTTCAAACTTTTTTTTTTTTTTTTTGCAGAAATCTTCAGAGCCACCAGGGATAAATTATTCATTGTAATCAGGTGATTTAGGTATAGAAGAGCCAAAATATGGACTCAACCCAAGTGTCTAATAGAATAGTATTAAGCCTTTAAGAATATGAATATCCTTTCATTTGCAGTAACATATATGAACCTGGAGGAAATCATGTTAAGTGAAATAAGCCAGGTGTTATGACATGATCTCATTTACATGTCTCAAATACATATGACATATCTCAAAGACATATGACATGTCTCAAATATGACATGATCTCATTTACATGTCTCAAATACATATGACATATCTCAAAGACATATGACATGTCTCAAATATGACATGATCTCATTTACATGTGGAATCTAAAGAAATCAAACTCAAAGAAACAGAAGACAACGTTAGTTTCCAGGAGCTGGTGGGGGTAGAGAGTAGTTGGAAAGATATTGGCAAAAGGATACAAAATTATAAATATTTGAAATCAGCTCTTTAAATTCATCAGTAGATACCTGATCGTCAGCCTACCCTACGCTTAGTCACTTCAGCGGATATTCTATGGTTTGTTGGTATCTTAGTTTCCTTAAGTTTGGTACTTAAAGGAAACATATCAGTAGTGTGTAGTATAAATAAGGAAGAATAGACAATTATCTTTTTGGTTTATAATACTTTCATTGATATAGCCCATGATTTCAATAAATATTTTCACTTCAATATTAGACTTTCAACTCACATTGCAATTCAATTGAGTTAAAACTTCTAGAATGTTTTCACACAAACTATCATTAAACCAGTTATATCACAACCTAATTACTATCACAAACTTGTGACCTGGTCTATTGAACTCCAATTTCGGGACTTTGAATCATACAAACCTGTTAGAATTTCTCACATTAGTTGCAGGCTATTGTTTTAAAATTAAACAGATACAGAACTTAATGGAACACAAAGCCCTTAAAAAAACATATTCTCATTTTATATTCTTACAAAATTCTTTGGTTGGGTAATCACCAATTCCAACTGCCCATAGGATGAGATGGCGCTTCAGAGAAATTAAGTTAATTGACCTCAGTACCATGGATCAGAAACTTATTTTATCTAGTTCACAATCATGTCCTTCCACATCAAAAAGGGGATGGTTCATAGCATACAGATTGAGTTGTTATTTATCAGGGCTATCCAACTTGAAATTAAGAGACTAGGGATCTTGATTCCTCTAAATTCCATGTCATTGAATGTAAGTTATTTGTGTATGCATTATAAATGTTTATGGATTTTTATTGTGTGATACATGATTTTTATCTTTCCTATATATTTTATCCACAAGTTTGATTATCAGGTTTCTATTTCTTCATTCATAATGTTGATTAAAATATAGAGTACAATTACATGCTGTAAAAATCTTTCTCTCATACTCTCTTCAGCGATGTTAACTCCTTGAATAAATACTCTCCTACTATGGTCATTTGGTAACCTACCCAAACAAGTGCATCATTTATGCAGATTTATCACAATGTCTTAAAACATTTTCATTTTTGCTTTGGCCCAACATAAAATTTCCTGTGTCTCTCAGTCTGCAAGCATCTACTTGCCAGTATATTGGACAGAGGAGTGCTGGAATGTTATTACTTCAGGGGTGACCCTTAACCAGTAAGAGCTTGGAATTGGTGGATCAATATCCCAGCTCCCTTGCTCCTCAGTTAGACAATACTGAAGTATGATTCACACAGTGTTTCAAAGGGTTCCCTGCATGATTGAGCTCCAGTTCCTTCCAGCAATAACCTGATCCCTAAATGTGTGCCATCCTTTATTGGCTACTTTATTTTTCTTATCTCACTTCCCTACTTTGATTCCTGGGGTCACTTTCCAAATAAACTGCTTGCATCTGAATTCTCTTCAGATCTACTCTTGGGGCAGCCCAAACTAAGGCCATAATCAACACCCTCAAATGAACCTAGCATCCTGCCATACTTTTTTCTTTTTTTTCCCCCCAAGTTGGGCTCTGAGTCTCTACAGGAACTATTTAAAACCTTTTTTCAAAGCTCTGGCCCATCCTCTTTCTGCAGCTCTCTCAGCAGATGATCTTGTTCTCTACCTTATAGAAACAAGTAGAATTATCAGAGTAGAACTTTTGCACTTCCTATTTCCAAACACCATCAGATCTGCATGTGTAGCCACCATTCTCATTCCGTTCTCTTACATGAGTTTCCCTTCTTTTAATTAAAATCATTCCCACTACCTACATTTTGAACTTTATTCTCTTACTTTTGCTCGAGCATCTGAGTCCATCCATTTTCTAATATTTGAGACGGAGTCTCACTCTGTCACCAGGCTGGAGTGCGGTGGTGCGATCTGGCCTCACTGTAACCTCTGCTTCCCGGGTTCAAGGGATTCCCCTGCCTCAGTCTCCCAAGTAGCTGGAACTATAGTTAACACTGTTGACCATACTATCCTTTTGAAATTTTTCTTCCTTTGGCTTCATGATGCCACTCTATTCTAATTTGCCTTCTATTTCTATGACCATTGGTAATTTTTTCTTTGCAGGTCCATCCTCCTCCACCCTATCATTACGTACTAGATTTGATCATGCCTTGAATTACAATCTATTTATCAATGACTCTGATACGTGTGTCTCTAATTCAGGCACTTCTTCTGAATTCCACAGCTATAAAACCATCTGCCTTTTGGATGTCTCCACTTGCATGCTGCAAAATCTCCTTAAACATTATATGCCAAGGTTTAATGTTTGATCTTCTCCCTCAAACTAGTACTCTATCAGTATTCCCCAGATCAGTAATTAGCATCACCACCCCTCATATCTGTTATCTTCATTTCTGCTATGGACTGAAATTTGTGCCCCACAAAAGTTCATATGTTGAAGACTAATTCCCAATGCGATATTAAAAGATGAGGTATTTGGGAGGTGATTAGGTCAAGAGGGTAGAGCCCTCATGAAATGAGTACTCTTAAACTCATCTGAAGAGATCAGCGTTCTCTTCCACCATGTGAGGGCACAGGGAGAGGGTACCATGTATGAACCAGGAAGCCTGCCCTTACAAGACACTAAATCTGCTGGTTCCTTGATATTAAACTTCCCAAACTCCAGAACTGGGAGACATAAATTTCTGTGCTTTATAAGCTACCCAGTGTACGATATTTTGTTACAGCAAACCAACTAAAACCCTCTCTCTTCCTTCCCATGTTTAATGTATTGCAAAGTCTATCTGTCACATATACATTCTCTATCTCCTGAATATGTATGCTTCTTCCTGTCTCCATAGCCAGAACCCAAATTTGTGTTGCCATTAAATGTGACCAAAAATACTGCAATAGCTTTTCACTTGGCCTCTGGGCAATATTTACAGAACCCTCTATTTTACGTACTACTGGGAACATTTTCATTTTTTTTTTATTGATGCATAAAAGATGTACTTAGTTTGGGGGTACATGTGATAATTTAACACATCCATATAATTTGTAAAGATCACATCAGTGTACTTGGGATATCCATCATCTTAAATGTTTGTCTATACTAGATACATTCAAATTATTCTCTTCTAGCTGCTTTGAAATATACAGTAGTAAAAACATACCTGATTATATTACCTTCATTCATAAAACCAAAGACTTTCTTATTTTTCTTAAAGAACAAAATTTCAATATGATCCTTTATAATCTGACCTTCATAGACCTCTTAACTGTATCTTTTATTCAAGTACTTGTAGAAACAAATTTCCCTTCATATTTTCTAAAGTAATTCAGAGCTATTCTTTATTCTTGTTCCTCCTCCAATGGAATAAAATCCTTCACTGACTCTCCCAAAATATTTCAAAAATTTAGTTGTTAGTATAATGCATTTGGGCCACTTTGGTGAAATTTATTTGTCTGACTCAATTATACATCAGATACCCTCTGACTCATAAATGTGAGATGGGAATATCCACCAGTCACTTTCAAATTCACGCTTTAAATTTAATCTCTCTAGTCTCACCCTCTTTTTCATTTAGACTATCTCTAGGAAAGATTGCTCACTTCTACTTAGAGGTCCCTGAAACCCAAACGTGGCTCAAGGTGCTAGGCTGACATCACGGCTGAAAGAAATTTGCTAAAGCCTGTGTTGGAGAAAGATTT